TAACGCGTAAGCGGAGAATTAATCCGTCATAGAAATCGTTCCAAATTGGTTGTAAGAAGCTTTTTTGCCATAATTGATTTGTTAAAAGGAGCGAAATTTATATTTTGGTATTTTATATGGCGTATGGGGGGATGATTTTCATAAAAAATTTCAAATTTTAGAAAAAAAAATTTCATTTTGTCTTATTACTTTTAATTTTTTAATGTTATTACTGCTCCATAAACCTTAAAAGGCAGTCGGAACATTCAGGGCTTCGCCCTGATACGAGCAGTCTTGTTTTTGGCTTTGGATTTAAAAAGCGTCGCGATAACAAACTAAATATGGGAGGCAAATTTAAACATAAAGGTGGTGTGATTTTGAGCAGGAAAGATGAGTCGACTCCTTAAGATTAGATGCGCTTATCGTGTTCTGATTTAGACACTGATACCGCATCCAGAACTTCAATCAGCAATCCTGAAATATCTTATAGCTTTCTTGATTAATTCAGCTTTCTCATTTTTAATTGACACTGAGCTCTGGAAGTCGAAGAAACGGAGCGAGCAGAATATCTCTCTCTTTTCATTAAATAACTTTCATGTCTCGACCTAGGTGCAAAAAATGAATCAATTAGACTGGATGCAAGGTACTATTTAACTGTAAATTTGGGGTTTTCTATTTTCCATAAAGCAATTAGTTCCTTGCTCCATTTTGTTCCAATTAGAAATTCAAATCAAGAATTTTTGTTTGAATCATTTTACTCCAAACTTAACGATTTATCAGTTCATTATTTGCTTAATAAGAACATTTTTAAAAGGCAAATGTGTCTTGCAGAGTGTACCACTGAACTTGATAGCTAAAAAAATAATCAGCCCCTGCCCGAGTCGAGAATTTTCAACTAATTTGAAGCAAGATTTGAGCGGTTTGAGCGTTTTTTTTTAGACAATTACGCTCAAAATCTTGCTTCAAATTGAGCGATTTGAGCAGTTTTTGAACGGTTTATCTAAAAAAAACCGCTCAAAAACCGCGCAAGATTTGAACCGTTTTGAGCGGTTTATCTAAAAAAAAAACGCTCAAAAACCGCGCAAGATTTCAGCGGTTTTTGAGCGGCTTTTCTAGATAAACCGCTCAAAATCCGCTCATATCTTGCGCGGTTTTCAAGCGGTTTTTTTTTTAGATAAGCAACTTAAAAACCGCTCATTTTGAAGCAATATTTTGAGCGCAATCGTCTAAAAAAACCGCTCAAACCGCTCAAATCTTGCTTCAAAATAGGTGAAAAATCTCGACTCGGGACTTCCTGTCAGAATTTTCCATCAAAATTGAGAAAACAGAGCCCAGGAAAACAGAATAGCGGAAATTGTTTGTATCTGATCCCTGTATATCAATTAGATGTAGAAAAAGCCAGACGAACTTGGAGAAACAAAAAGTTAAAATTTCTTTTCGTGGATATGCTTTTCAATATAGTAAAGTTAAGTTTTTTTAAAAAGAGAGCAAAGCTGAGCTTTGCAACACATGCGATACAAATATGAATGTTTTGAAAACCAAACGGAAAAAAATTCAAAAATGGTTTTTGTCAAAAAGAATAGCAATAAACGCCCAAACCGGAACAAAATTACTTGCACCATTAGAAACTCAACAAGAAGCGGTTTTTCAAGCAAGATTTGAGCGGTTTGAGCGGTTTTTCCAAAAAAAAACCGTCAAACCGCTCAAACCACTCAAACAGCTCAAATCTTGCTGGAAAACTGCTGAAACCGCTGAAACCGCTCATATCTTGAGCGGTTTCTGAGCGGGGTCTCGACCCGGGTGGTCCAAAAATGTCAATAAGCAAGTGTCATTAAATCTTTTCACATTAGCTCGTTTGGCGACAGAAACCAACTAATTTTGAATGGGCATTTCAACTACAAAAAAGCATATGGATTGATCCTGGTCAAAAAAGAACTTCGATGGCGTTTTTGAAAGATCATACGAACTTGAGCTCGAGTTTTTCGTCTCCACTGAAAGCAAACAAGACTGCTCGTATCAAGGCGAAGTCCGGAATGTTCCGACTGCCTTTAAAGGTCTATGGATCAGTAATAATTTGAAAAAATTAATTCTAATAAAAAAAAATGAATTTTTTTCTAATCGAGGTTTTGTTGTAAAACACGCTATATAAAGTTTAAAGTGATAACAAACCTTTTATGGCATTTAATAATCCTTGAACCAAATTGGAACGTTTTCAAAGAGGGAATAAATCTCCGCTTACGCGTTAATAGTGCGAAATATATCGCGCGTTAATTGTCCCAAATTGGCCAAAATGGCATTCTTTAAACCCCCCCCCCCCCCCGATTTTATGGAAAAAGAACGCAGGTGAAATATTTTTTCAAATTTAAGCTCAGGACAACACTCGTAATGAAGTTTTGCTTACAATCCAGATCTGGTCATTTATTTTACATTTCTGATTCTAGATCAGTTCTGATCGCAACTGTGACAGGAGTGCACAGGAGTGAAATTATATGAACAGCTGCAGATCTGGACCAGATCTGGCAGACACGTGATCAGACCTGGCAGACACGTGACCAGATCTGTCGGGCACGTACTCAGATCTGAGTAACACGTTGCGTTTATAGCTAAAAGGGGAAAACATAAATGCGTTCAAACGGTTTTTTGTGAGCATGCTACACCGAATAGTTTAGTAACGGTTACGTAGCAGTTTTTAGACAACCGCGTATTCAGACACGTCACTATTTAGACAACTTTTGTTTTAACCAATCAGAATCCAGACAAGGAAGTAATTAATAAATAATACTATTTATTTTTGATTATTTGTCTTATCTCGATTCTGATTGGTTCATACAGTATTTGTCTAAATACTGACGAGTATGAATACGAGTATGAATACTGACTTGTCTAAATCAAGACCACACTCCTTTAGTAACATATTGACGGTGGCCAGTCAATAAACAGAATGGTCTAAGACCAGAATGGGTCCAAGAGCAGAAAAAAAAGAAAAATATCAACTTCTATAGGCTAATCGATAAAATAATGATCAGAAATGTCAATAATGAGTTATAACCGATGTGGTTAACTCATAGAGTAATTTCGGATAGGGTACACCGTCTGCTCGTCACGCTATCTTATTTTCGGCCGGATAGATTCGTGCAACTTCTTAGTCTAATACCGATCCTAATCTTACTCTTATACTTATCTAGTCTCAGGTTGTTTAACTAGTCTCTGCTAGGCTCAATAGATCTAGGGTATACTGGTTTATTGCGGCTGCTGAAGTCTTCTTGGAGAGTCAACTAATTTCTAAGTTAAATTCAAATCTCTCTGGTGCTGAAATTACAAGTAATTTCAGCACTTACAAATAAGTGGATTGTTAGTCAGATGGATCATGATTGGTTAATATTAAATACTTTACATTGGTAAAATATCTAATTTATCCAATCATAAAATGTAGTTTAGATCAGGTTCCACCCATCCGGGTTTTACAGAGTTTTTTAGAATAGTTTTTCTGCAATTTGAAGGATGGATGATGGACGTTGGTATTTGGCGAACATCATATTTCTTTTCCGGTTTCCCTTGTTAGAGAACTTCCAGGACGCTGGAATTAGGGACATCAAACGTTGTGTCTTCTTGTGACAACGACTGTGTTTCCGCAACAAACTCAAATCTGATTTCAGAATGGTTGGCTATGTCAGGTTTTTCTGTTTCATGTAGAGAACTTCTTGTGTTTGACCTTGTCTGGGAATGGCGTGGAGATTGTGCATGGAGGGGATGCCTGGTTACTCGGATCTGTACGTATACTTGAACATCGAGGTGGTCATTGGTCTAGTTCAATGAAGTCCTTTTCTGCGAAGTCAAGTCGTACTCTAAATCCTTTGAGTTGTGATTGTGAGTGGCATATCGATTGTGGTTGGCCATTCTTTTTCGAGTGTAGTGGGGTCGTTTTGTCTTTGGATGTTCGTCCTTGGTGTTGTATGCTGATCTATATATTGCATAATATAATTTACATTTTATAAAACTTTTATTAGTTTAATGTTTTTTAATTATGATTTTGGTTAGTTGTTTTCACAAAAGCTTTTTGTTTTAGTTCGGTTATTTTGAAGAGTTACTCACCCTTGAGTAGCTCTTATTAAAAATAGGAGTGTGGTCACAAAGCGTGGATGTAGCACGGTGGGTTAGGCCGGCTATAGAGCATGCTCAGGACGTCCTCTTCTGGTGGGTTAGGCCAGGAGTGGGAGTATAATTGCATGCGGTGTTTGTGAGAGGTCCTGTTATGTGATAACGTTTTATGTTGGGTTTGTTGTGGTTTTTCTTATGTTTTGTTGGTTGTGTCTTTTTTTCAAAAATCAAATTGTTTTTGGTATGGGTTTGTCTTTCGACTTTTTTGTGTTTTATTATTTCTTTCTTAGACTTTATAATAGTCTTCAAAAGAATAAATTATCCAGTTTTAAACTGGGTTAATCCGGTTTGGGTACCGTTGGTTTCCTTTTCTTAGTCATGCTGTTATTCTATGATTTGTGGTGTTTAGTAAGCTGCGTTGGTTAGTGTTGTTTAGTATATAATTCCTTTCCAACCGGGTTAAAGGAAAATTTGAAACGTGTTATCTTGTGTTAGAGTTGTTGAGTGTGAAAGCTTGAAACTGAAATTCATTATTTTAAACAATTCTTCGTGGGCGAGCTGTGCGAGTGTGGATAGAATTTTTGTGCGAATGAATGGAAATATCAAAAGGTTAGTACTGCATTTTCGTTTTATCAATTTATTACATAGAAATTCAAATTTACTGCTAGTTGTTGGGGAAAATTAAGTTACAAATTTTCATCATTATTAGATTTACTGCTTGTGGGGAAAAAATTTATAAATTAAATTACTGCATTGGTATTATTTTTATTTAATTGTTTGGTGCAAAAAATTAATAGAGTTTTAAACAGTTTGAAGAAGTTTTCTATCTTTATTTTTCGTTTGTGAATTTTTCAGATGATCGTTGGATGAAGGCTAAAATTCTAAAGAAGACATGGATAAAGAATGGTTAGTTTCTAATTTTAATTTAATAAGTTAATAATATGTATAATTCATACTTACCTGTTAGTCGTCGGGGAAGAAACCGTGGGGAAAGATGTCGTGGATGAGGTCGGATGTTGTTAGTAATTTTGCTAAGATGCGGATGATATTTTTAGTTTGAAGCAGTGGCCAAAGCAATTGAAGTGCTTTAATGGTTGTTAGTTCTTCTGTGCCAACTGCGAACTCATAAGGTGTGTTTTGGATGAGATTATATAATTTGTGATTGAATTTAGTGTTGTGGATGAATTCTAATATGGGGATTTCTATAGGTTGAACAAATTCGTGTGGGATAAGGAAGGGTCGGGATTCTTCTGCGTTAAAGGTCTTCGTGATGGGACAAAAAATATACCTTTGTGTTATGGGGTCGTAATTTCGAAGAATACCATGAAGGTTAGTATCTTTAATGCAATATGTGAAGTTAAGAAAGAATGGTGAGTTGTATTTGGAATTGATGAATTGAAAACGGTGGTGTGGTTGTCTGGAGGGAGTGTGTAGGTCGAAGTGATTTTGTATAAAACGATAATATGTATATGTGTGAGTTTGTTTAGTGCGTAACATAATATCGTGTGAGCAGTGCAAATCTCGTTCATGTGGTGCAAGGAAATGAAAGGTTAGTGAAAAAAATTGAAAGCGTTCTTTAAAACTTTTGTAGGCTTGTGTGTCTGTTAGTGCTTCTGAAATGATGTGGTGAAATTTGCGATCAAAGATGTTGAGTGTAAATACATATGGTGTTTTAATGAAAAATTTTTCTGTGATTTGTGGGTTAGCGAAGCGATCATCGTCTAAAAATTGATCTTGGTTAGTTCGGATGATGTTATGATCATAATATTCTAGCGTATATTCGTTAGCTCGGGGTGCAGTGTATGTTTTTAGTGACTTTTTATATCCGATGTAAGTAAATTGTCTAGGTGTTAGTGGTGTAGTGAGTCGATATAGCATGTCTTTATTTCGTTCTATATCGATGTGAGTGTTAGATAAAGGTAGGCAAAGGGGATTAGTAAAATGATAATATGAGGTCCAAGGAAGGGTAGGCATTAAAACGTGTTCGTCTACAAAACTACGTGTATCGTTAGTGTCGTGAGGGGTGTTTAAGGTATATTGTGGAAATGAGGGTAAGGTGATAGCTAAAAATTCTTTCGTGTTAGTGTGATTTGGATGATTTATATATTCACGGGCTGTTCCTGGTTTTGCTGGGAAAGGATGGTTTGGGAACTTTCTTTTAATAGTGCGATAAGCTCTATTAGTGCTGAGTGAAGATTCAGTAGATGTGGATGATGGTGCTAATGATTCGGTATAAACTGAAGAGGGTGTAGGGGTAGGTGGGTTGGATGAATCTATTGTGGATGAAATTTGGTTTATAGTGGGGGTGTCAAGGTGGTAGGGTTGTTGTTGTAGGGTAATAAAATTATCTAGTTCTGGGGAGATTTGGGGGGTATCTGAAGAATTGGATGATCGGTCTGAATGAAGTGAAGAGTAGGTTGGAGTGACTTGGGAAGCATAAGAGGGTGTAGAATTGGTTGGGACAGGGTTATTTGGTAGTATTGGTTGAAAAGGGGGTTGGGAAAGAATTGAGGGGTTGGTGTGAAAATGATTGGATGGAGATGGTTCAGAGTCGGCAAATTCATCGGGGGTTTCAATATTCGGGTTATTGAGTTGTGAAGTGGTGTATAAAACTGAGATTTGTAAATTAGTATCTGAATTCATGCCTGATGTTACATTAATGGTTGGAAAATTGGGTGGCGGGAAAGCAAAAAGTGGAATTATTGTAATTGGAGTGGTGAGGTTGGTTGGGTGGGAATTTGAGCGGTGTAGGGATCCAAGTTGTCGGCTCATCGTGGGCTAAAAAAATTATTATTTTGAGACTGAAAAGCGGTGGTATGGGGTTGTTCTATAATTTGTTCATAAGTATTTTTATCTTGTGAATGGTGTGTCCTTATATGTTGGATGGGACTTTGTGATATGGTTGGTCTGAAGTTTGGATTATGTGTAATTGCTAAATTTCGAAAATTTCGTGGGACTAGTGATAATGGATGGTTATGTGGTAGGGGTGGTAACTGTGGTGCTGGAGGCGTTGTGTCTACATTTTTATGTTCTTCGTCGTATGTGTTCTGTCTTGTTGCTATTTTTGTGTTGTATTCTTTTATTTGTGCGTCTAAAAGAATTTTGTTTATTGATGTAGAAAAAATTCCGAAAAATCCTGCAAATAGTATGCGTGCTACACTTGCTTGTCTGTTTACTTGTGTGTGTATAGCACATGTGTTGTAGATTCCTTTTAAGAGTGAAAAAAGAAATCCTTTAAAGTTAAACATTGCGTATAAAATAGTTAATTTTTCTAAGATGTAATAGGGCCATCCTAGAAAATCAAGAATTTCATTTTTGAGTGTAACAAAGCTAAAAATATTAATAGGTGATATATCTTGGGGACGGTATTTTTCACCGTTTAGATATATATAATCTTTAATGTCTTTAAAATATCCACTATAGTCTTGCGTATAGATGTCTGCAAATCCTGCGGTTTCGGCAAGTTTGCGTAAGTTTTGGTCAATTGATTGTCTTTGTATAGTGTCCATTTGTGTTAATAATTCTTGGAATTGTTGTGTTCTAATGTGATGTTGTATATCGGATTTTGAATATATTCCTATTGATTGTAAGTCGATATTTGGGTTTCGAGCGATAGCTCTAATGCTTTCAGGTGAAAATTTTTTGAATGATTGCATTAATGTGGGATATGGGGTAAGAAGGTAATATTTATCTTCATCAGGGTTTAGTTGTACTACATTGTGGCTATTTTCTGATCCACATGGGACTGCGGTATCCCAGAAATAGGTTCGTCTTGAAAGTGTGTCAACGAAGTGTACTTTATTCTTATAAAAGATAGGGATTTTTTTATAGCATCGTTTATCTTCAAAAACATATAGTGGTGATACTTTTTTGGTTCAGGTATAAAACCATAAAATGTTTCCTTCGTAGTCTAAAAAATTTGATCTATTTCCTGATAGTAAATATCCTGCGTAGGGTATTTTTAATACTGCTAGTGCAAGTGATTGTAATATTTGTGTTCTTTCTAATTCGCATAATTGGTGAAGTGTTTCTAATTCAGAGAGTGACATTTCTTGAAAAATTCGGCTAATTGTGTAGTCTAATTTCATATCTAAGTGTAAAATGATAATATGAGGTCCAAGGAAGGGTAGGCATTAAAACGTTTTCGTCTACAAAACTACGTGTATCGTTAGTGTCGTGAGGGGTGTTTAAGGTATATTGTGGAAATGAGGGTAAGGTGATAGCTAAAAATTCTTTCGTGTTAGTGTGATTTGGATGATTTATATATTCACGGGCTGTTCCTGGTTTTGCTGGGAAAGGATGGTTTGGGAACTTTCTTTTAAAAGTGCGATAAGCTCTATTAGTGCTGAGTGAAGATTCAGTAGATGTGGATGATGGTGCTAATGATTCGGTATAAACTGAAGAGGGTGTAGGGGTAGGTGGGTTGGATGAATCTATTGTGGATGAAATTTGGTTTATAGTGGGGGTGTCAAGGTGGTAGGGTTGTTGTTGTAGGGTAATAAAATTATCTAGTTCTGGGGAGATTTGGGGGGTATCTGAAGAATTGGATGATCGGTCTGAATGAAGTGAAGAGTAGGTTGGAGTGACTTGGGAAGCATAAGAGGGTGTAGAATTGGTTGGGACAGGGTTATTTGGTAGTATTGGTTGAAAAGGGGGTTGGGAAAGAATTGAGGGGTTGGTGTGAAAATGATTGGATGGAGATGGTTCAGAGTCGGCAAATTCATCGGGGGTTTCAATATTCGGGTTATTGAGTTGTGAAGTGGTGTATAAAACTGAGATTTGTAAATTAGTATCTGAATTCATGCCTGATGTTACATTAATGGTTGGAAAATTGGGTGGCGGGAAAGCAAAAAGTGGAATTATTGTAATTGGAGTGGTGAGGTTGGTTGGGTGGGAATTTGAGCGGTGTAGGGATCCAAGTTGTCGGCTCATCGTGGGCTAAAAAAATTATTATTTTGAGACTGAAAAGCGGTGGTATGGGGTTGTTCTATAATTTGTTCATAAGTATTTTCATCTTGTGAATGGTGTGTCCTTATATGTTGGATGGGACTTTGTGATATGGTTGGTCTGAAGTTTGGATTATGTGTAATTGCTAAATTTCGAAAATTTCGTGGGACTAGTGATAATGGATGGTTATGTGGTAGGGGTGGTAACTGTGGTGCTGGAGGCGTTGTGTCTACATTGTTATGTTCTTCGTCGTATGTGTTCTGTCTTGTTGCTATTTTTGTGTTGTATTCTTTTATTTGTGCGTCTAAAAGAATTTTGTTTATTGATGTAGAAAAAATTCCGAAAAATCCTGCAAATAGTATGCGTGCTACACTTGCTTGTCTGTTTACTTGTGTGTGTATAGCACATGTGTTGTAGATTCCTTTTAAGAGTGAAAAAAGAAATCCTTTAAAGTTAAACATTGCGTATAAAATAGTTAATTTTTCTAAGATGTAATAGGGCCATCCTAGAAAATCAAGAATTTCATTTTTGAGTGTAACAAAGCTAAAAATATTAATAGGTGATATATCTTGGGGACGGTATTTTTCACCGTTTAGATATATATAATCTTTAATGTCTTTAAAATATCCACTATAGTCTTGCGTATAGATGTCTGCAAATCCTGCGGTTTCGGCAAGTTTGCGTAAGTTTTGGTCAATTGATTGTCTTTGTATAGTGTCCATTTGTGTTAATAATTCTTGGAATTGTTGTGTTCTAATGTGATGTTGTATATCGGATTTTGAATATATTCCTATTGATTGTAAGTCGATATTTGGGTTTCGAGCGATAGCTCTAATGCTTTCAGGTGAAAATTTTTTGAGTGATTGCATTAATGTGGGATATGGGGTAAGAAGGTAATATTTATCTTCATCAGGGTTTAGTTGTACTACATTGTGGCTATTTTCTGATCCACATGGGACTGCGGTATCCCAGAAATAGGTTCGTCTTG